CATAATAATCAAGAAAAGTCATAAATTGTTCCAAATTGCTCTGAAAATCGCCAAATTAATCCCATTTAAACCCTTTCAACCCCAAAAAAACATACAAAGCGAGCTCAAAAATCGTTAATTGACTCCAATTTCATCAAAGTCTCATCTTTTCTTATTATTTCCTTCAAATATTCTCAAAACGTGTTTTATTGGCCTTTTATTGAACCAAAAATTTCAAATTCTAAATGCGTGCAGCCTTCATTGAATGAATAATGTTGAAAGTAAGCTTTCTTCTTCCTTAAAAATAAAAGCTTTTAGCATAGAAAAAATGAATTGGGGGAAATAGCTAAAAAAATAATTTTGTTGCTGATTAATTTCATCGAGCTTATTAAAATTCTACATGACATTATTATGCTATGTGAGTAATTTATTTCTTCAAGAACAGATTGTACATCCTTCGGGGCGGTTAAGGAAATTCAGTCTTCTTCTTTATCGTCATTTCCATAAAAATGATGTCTTTCTCTATGGAGATTAATGATACATGATACTTTTTATGAATGAAATTTGTGCTTTAAAAATAACCTCGATTGACATTCTGTTCAGTATATTTTCTATGACAATGAATCATCGAGAGACAGTGTGGTTTTGAAGTTTGAGATTGATCTGGTCAGAGCTTAACTGATCTGAAATTTATTATTATTTATTTGTCGACGTTACCGTCCGGAAGAATTAGCATTTAAACATGTTTTTACTTTTTACATTGATTAGTGATACATTTCATATCACTATGGGTGACGTAGAATCAAGCTTCTAATCTTCAAAATCTAGGTTTCAAATAAACTAAGGCTCTCGTTTCAATATTCTGTGGGCGTCACGTGATACATTTCAGGTCCGTTCTGACAATATCCATTATAAGGTAATCTTGTAGCTCTCGTTTCTATTTCTCCCACTACACTTCAAGTTCCTGATCCGTTCCTTAATCCAACGTTGCCCAAAATGCCCAATTATGGCTTGACTCGTACATTAAGCAGTCGAAGTATCTACACTTCTGAAAAAGAACAAATTTGGAAAATGGCTGGATTCGAACCGACGACCTTCGAGTTACCATACCAAATTTTGAGCCAAGCGCCTTACCTATTCGACCAGCAAGGCACTTAAATGATTCCAAACATAAACGGAACTTGTTTAAGTTTAATAACCCAGTAAACTGAGGGGCCATTCACTTATTACGTAACGCTTTTAGGGGGGGAGGGGGGTCTAAGATTTTGTTACGGTTCAAACAAGGAAATTTTTTTTTCATACAAATTTTGTTACGAGGGGGGGGGGGGGGTCTAAAAAGTCATTTTTTCGCGTTACGTAATAAGTGAACAGCCCCTGAGTATTTAAGTTGTAATCTAGTCAATATAAGTTTGCTCCCAAAATAGGTTAATAACATCTAAGAATCAAAAATTCCACACTAGCTTACACATTTAGATCAACAACACTGAAAATCAAAGTGAGCAGGTAGAAATGATTTAAAAGACAGAAAGAAGAGTCTAAATTGAGCCATAAGAATATCAATGAATGAATATTTTATCATAAAAATAAGACACAGTAATAATAAAAAGCTTAATGCTTGATTTCACAGCACACCTGATGTGCATATTCTTTCTATTTTTCATATTTACATTTCAGACAATTAATATATTCCATTCCATTCTCACTTATCTCTTTACTCATTCTACCCCATTCATATGTACACGAATGTTTAAAGTAAGAGTGTAAAGAAGATAAGCTTACACACGGAGAAAGTTATATCTTTTTTTTTGTTTTGTAGCGATGATAAGACGTAGAACAAATTTGTTTTAAATATAATAACGATCATGAGAACTTTATTTTTTTGTTGTAGAAGTTTTCATTCAAGTATATGAGTACGGAGTGAATGAACAACTTAGTAGTAAAGCAAATTGGAGTGTTTTTGATGACAAAAAATGTGAAAAATGCGATGAATTTAATTTTCAATTATTTTATGGGATAAGTAGGCATTTGAGTGTTTTATTTAAGAGATCTTTTCTACTTTATTAAGTTTTTGAATAAATTGTCGACTTTTGAATTCAAGTTAAGTTTAAATATTGAAGTTAACCAAAGTTTAAGATAGTTTGAAGACAAGACTAGACTCAAACAGATCTTATATACACAGGACTAGATCTTTGTCGATAAGTGCGAATTCAGAAAGAATCTGAATATTTAAAAGGCAAGCATTAAGAATTCCTAGAAGACTTTGGATGATTCAACAGATCTTCGATCGCAGTACCGTTTTTGTTTTAGCCAAAACCTTACACTACAATCTATTCTATTCTAAGGATTCTTACCCAAAGGATTTCCAAACAAACGCTAATTCTAATCCATATCAATAAAAAGTCAAGCAGGAAGTCAAGTTTCTTTCAATGAAGGTAAATTATTCGTGATTTTTCCGCGACACAGCAAAACAATTCCTTGAACTTCCGATAAAAATAAAAAAGAAGGTCACCCTTGGCATTAATAAGATTCAATAACTGTTTGGTAAAGGCTAAAAGCTTTGTGCGTACCTAATTCTACTGATTGCTGTTAAAAATTTAAAAGCAAGAAACAGTCGCCACTTTGATATTGTCTTTTAAAAGAAAGGATGTTGAATAATTGATCTAAATGCGAGGATGTTCCAGTGAATCACATGTTTGTGAATGTGATTGTCGCACAACACTGATAATGGTTTGGGGCTGTGGATATAGTGAGCGATTGTGTGAAAGTGAGCTTATTGAGTGATACTGGGCTATATGTGAGGCTGTGTGCTTCATTTTCAGTGTCTATGCTCTAAAACACGACAATTCTTAGAACCAGGCTTCTAGCTATAGCAGCAATAGAAAAATCTAGTTCAATCTATATCCAATAATTCACAACCACAATACCGAAATAATCAAGATTTAATCTAGCACGTTCCATACTCAAATATTTACATCTCAAAACTTACAATTAATGCTTGATCAAGTATGAAATTGCAATCATTGTTATTACATGAAATCTTAGACATTCTCAGATTCCAATCATATATTTTCATTCATGTTTATGAACAGCACACAAAGGAACTTTAGTAATAAATCAATTAATGCAACCTAAAGCATGCCAACAATGTTTAATTTACGTGTAACATTGAACGTTGTTACCAAAAAAAAAAACTCATAAATCATCAACAAAATCCCTTAAATGGAGAGCCAAAAAAGATGTAATTAGTTGAAGCTCTTCTATATTGTTTAAGCTTAGATAATTTGAATATAATTTACACAAATTAATTCCACATTCATTAAATAAGTAAGTCACCTAGCTCGTTATATATTAATGCATAGAGTGAGGGATATTCTTGAGGGGACTCGTGAGAATTTATAAAATTGTTTGCATTTCTGTTACTTGAAACTCAATCCTTGATATTCTCATGTGATAGAGCCATCATAATTTATGTAATGTCACATTGTTGACTTACTTTTTTGGGGGTATTTACTCAAGGAACCGACCATGTGAGAGTAAACGTCAGCAGTAAACTCTTTTATGTCATCAAATTTGTCACAGCATGTAAAGAAAAAATCGATCACATTCACCGAAAAATGATATCTCAATCATCAGCGACGCAATGTCAAATAACATTTCCGATTGATATGAAATTTTTCAATTATCTTCCTTTTCCTACCCCCAACAATGATTGCCATTCTATTTCCATTGCGTATAAAAAGGAATTTTTGGCTTTCATTGATTCTGTCGGAATGATATGATGACAGATGAGGGAAATTCTTAATAAAAATATCAGACTACCGTCATTTCATATAACATCCGTTAAATTTATATTCAAAAAAATTCAAATTTTTTATGGCCGTTATAAAATTCAAAAATTTTTGACGGTTAAACCAGATTTTACCATGCACTTACTCATTTTGCTCAAATTTTATTCTTAATAAAGTTGAGAATGGATAAAAAAAAATATAAAAATAATAATTTATGAAGAACTTTGGGATTTGTGCTGAATTGGTATTAATTAAAATAATTTATTGTTTACATAATGTAACTGTTTTTTTTTGAAATTTTAATTTTCGGCTCTAATATCGAAGAAATCGAAATTAATTTCGAAGAAGTCCGAAACGAAATGGCGGTAGTCTGAAAAATATAAATTAAATATTTCAATTTATATAACTATCATATTTTCATCTAAGGACTATGATTTGATTTTATTTTTGAGTTTTGAAAGATATTTCGACCGTTAGAATTAAAATTTTGAATTTTGGAAACAAACACAAACAAAATTTACCACATTTAAGAAAAATTTGTAATTTTTTTCAATAATTAACAGCTTTAAACCTGTCTTGAAGATTGATCTGTAATATTTAAAGCGGCAAGAATCATAAAATCAACTCTTGTACCTAAAATTAGCTAGAATTAAGTAAAAATCAAAGAAAAATCTCAAATGTCTACATTTAAAACATATTTACATTAGTGTTAGTAACAAAATACATTTAAATTTTCTTGAACCGTTAAGGATTCACTTTCACCCTAACCATTGACCAAATATAATAAATTTATGATTATTTTATGCACGAAATCATGCTATTCATAACCATTAATCAATCAATTTTTTTCTTATCATTCTAGCTGAGCCGGGAGACGATCAGCCATTTGTCGCCAATAATGAAAAGGTCAACACCAATTTGTATCTCTATTCGGTGAGTATCGCATCCTTAATATCTACGAAAAATCTATGAAAATTTTTGCTATCGCTTAAAGAGTGTCGGCTTAGAATATTTATGCATTCAATGAATTATTCATTATGTAATATTAATTTAAAAGCTTGAAGCTGAAATTTCCATTAGAATTTTTATATTCGTTCGGATATACAATAAATTTGGCTTATCTGTTGCCATATATCACACCTACCAAAAAATTTATATACGTTCAATAATTTATTTTAAAATTTAAATGCACACATATAGGAAGAGATACATGAACGCCCGCAAATCACGTCTATGATCGGATCTTTAGCCAATTATTCTAATACAATACCAAGCGCACCTGCAGAAGGTGATGCAAAAGCTGCCCCACCTTCAGCCCGAATGGGTAAGTAATTGCATTTTAAAGTGCCTTTATCCTTTGAATGTTGATGGAAAATTGTTTTTGAAATTTTGCTGTGTACAAAACTGGAGATTGATTCGGAGAATTTTTAAATTGAATTTTCATAAAGTTTGCCTCCCAATGTGATTTAAAAGGTAAACATACACAAAGTTTATGAATTTTTGTGAACCTTTTAGACTAAAATGACATTTTGAATTTTCGCAAGCATGTCCAATTCAATTGTTTAGTACTCTCGGGAATTCGGCGCTGGAAGTTTATATGTAAAAAAACTCATCATATTACACAAAGCAATACCATCAGTTACAATTTATCAGAACTGCCTCACATCAATTTTTACTCAACAAATGCACTCAAAACTTTATCATATTCAATAAAGTATGCTGAATATTCTCATTCAATCAATAATTCCGTCTGCATTACATGCAAAATTTCTCGGTAAAAACTTCACTGCCAACTTAACATCAAGCACATAAGAAATAAAAAAGTATTTTTCATGTATTATTGAGAAACATCAGTTACAGATGAGTTTAGTCTCGCAAGAGTTTCCAACATAAATTGTCAATAAAAGAAGCGAGAGAAAACACAAAGTTTTTGAATGAAATCATAAACAAGCTGATGAATGTGAGTGTAAAGCTTTTACCATCCATGCAAAATAAGAATGAGAGCAGAAAAATTTGAATTTTAAATCGATTCTCAATATATATTGATGAGATTTCCACAAAAATTTGCCTTTTTCTCCATTTCGTACAGTTTGAATATAATTTTCAATGTGATTTTGAACAAACAACTCAGATTAGTCTATTTCCAAGTTAACCGACTGTCTTCGAGTATGGTTAAATAAGCAATTTTTCAGATAGAAGCAACTAGCCATATTAAAGAGTTCTGATTCAAAGCTTTAGCTTGATGCTATTGAGTTATTGACAAATCAACTGATCTGTGAGCTTTTAGTCATTTCTAAGCTCAAAAATTAAAGATTTAAATTTAAATTAACTTGCAACCTGTCAAAACGAAGACCTCTATAACATTAAATTTTAAAAAAACTGTTATAACTTTGAATATCAAAAGATCGTTAAAAATTTGAAAATTTACTGAAAATGCGCATATATTTCAGAATCAATCGAACATTCCAACAATATTTTTCATAACATCTTTCCATCTCCATTCTTCCTTCCATTTCCATTTCCATTTCCTGTTTTATCGAAAATAAATATTTTCTTCTCAAACCAAACTTTTTTTTTATCTTTACACATCAGGCACACTTATTGGCGTGTTCTTGCCATGCATTCAGAATATTTTCGGTGTGATATTGTTCATTCGTTTAACATGGGTCGTAGGAACTGCTGGCGCCATTTGTGGTTTCTGCATAGTCTTGACATGCTGTTGTGTGGTAAGTATAAATCTTTAAATTGGTCTTTATTATTTAACTTGTGTTTATTGTATCCCCATTGAACTTGTGCTTAAAAATACGCAATTATATAGTACAACAATGAAACTGATTGACTAGCTATGATTTTCAAGTTATTTCAATAGTCGTTGATCGATATTGTCAAACAATAGAAATTCTTGTAGTTATTATTCGATGGATATTCATGTTGAACGATAAATTCCTCAAAGTCTAGATTAATTCTAATGAAAAATGTTCCGAGTCTGCCTACATTAACTGTTAATTGGAATTTTTTGTGGAATTTTTCCAACCCAGAAGTCCCCCTCCGACTACAATCAATTATTATCTCCATGTAGACATAAATCTTAGCAAGTTCGAGTTAATTATTAACTGATAGGGATCGAGGTATTTAATTTACCTGCTTACATTTAATGCTGTGATTTATTTCTCTCTATTCTCTTATGCTTCTCTTACACAGCGGGAGATAGACACACTTCATTTTTCATGAGTTTAGTTTTTTTGAAGCCAATGTTTAATCCCTAGCCATTAGTGACATTCAAACATTGAATGAAAATAAAAGCTATGGCATTCGACATTGAATGAATGGAAAATGAAATGAATAAGAAGAAAGAATGTCTAAATATAATGTCGTCGTCGTCGTATTGAATGATTTTATTGATTGTGATCTTTTTACGGATGTGTATGCCATTAGGATAAATGATACGATTTATTTTCTTAATCCATTATGATATAACAACACAGATACCTCCTAAACATGTCTTCACATTTGATATCTTCATATCATTTCTTATCATTACGTTGTTTCTCATGCTTGACATGAAATGTGCAACAAAGTTGGTGATTCTTCTGCGTCATTTACTGATTTTCTGCAATATTCAGAAAATTCCTCAAATTAAAAGTTTTTCAGCACTTCTCAGCTTTATTCAACATAAATTATCTTAATTCAGATAAAATTCATCTCAAGTCAGCTCAAATTTAGCATATTTCAGTTCAATTCAGCTTATTTAAGTTCAATTCAGCACAAATTCAGTAAACATTCAGTTAAAAATCAGCTTAATTTAGCTGAATCCCGCACAAATTCAGTTGAAATCTAACTTAATTCAGCTCAAATTCAGCACAGATTTTTTCACATCTAATTCAATTCAGCTCAAATTGGTTCAATCCAGCTCAAATTGGTTCAATCCAGCTCAATTCAGCAATATATTTCCAAATCTCAATAACAATTAGCCAATATCTAATTTCCACAAAACCTAATCACCCAAACCTTCAGTTCTATTTTTAATATCTCATTGTTACGTGTGACTTAATCATTCATTAATTATTAATAATTGACGATACAGATTTTTTTGTTCGTGCAAATAAAGTGTCATCTCTATTCATACTTCAGTGGATTTATGACGAATATTGATGGATCAAGTACAAAATGTCATGATATTCAAGTTAGACATGAACATTGTATATTCAAGATTAAATGTATATATTTTGGAATATGAGCTGATTGTCAAGGTTTTAATGTCAAAATGATTTCCCATAACCCCTTCTGAGAAGAGTTGAGGAGGAAACTTTGAAGGATTCAGTTATCTCATGACTTTTCATCCGATATGATGAGGAAAGGTTAAGAGTGACAAGATCGCATTGAAATTTTAGAATTAGAAGCTCAAATGAAAATAATAAAATCAAATGTCAACCAAATGTATGCAAAATGTCAGTCACTTCTGGTGAAGGTATTGTGTGAAGTCGGTGTGGTATTAAAAGAGCTACAATAAAGAAATGTGCATGAATAGAAGTTGTCATAGAGATTCTATTCATAAGAAAATTGGAAATTTGATCATAAATAATACAATATTGGATATTTGAGGTTCTGGGAAATATAATGTTAAACCATAAAAAGGTTCATAAGAAGCAGAATTGGAAGTCGTTTAGATATTGTTGACTTTGATGCTTGACCAATCGACATCAGCTTGTCAGAGCTGAAAATCTGTCTGAAATCACAAAGGAAAGACTTCTTGCAAAGTTCCTGTCGACTTCAAGCTCTATCATCTTAAGTCCTCGAGTCTTTTATCATCTCATTTTCCTGATAATCCAACTCTGACTAAGAACAATCCATTTCTCAAGTAAATAAGCCATCGATTTCCTCAATAATTGGTAAAATAGTCAGTTTTCTGCTCGAGTATTCGCATAATATGATAGGTAGGATTGAATGATAAATAATCTAGCATGTGGACAAAAGGGTCCATTATCCTCCGAAAGTGTGATAAAAACGGACAAAGCACTGCAAAAAAAGGTCTCTTAATGCTACTAAAATAACCATCAAAAAAATAACCATTTCGTGGAACGACGATTCATAAAATTCAATCAATAAATCCTTAAAGCTATCAATATTGAGCTTTAAAAGCTTTCCATTTGAATGAATAAATTTGTCATAAGCATAACGAAAATGTAATGTGACAAATGATGTTTGCGGATGGCAGAATGTGTGACTGCAACTTTTTAACATATTGCCACCTCAAATCGATTCAAAAAATGCAGTCTAATGTTAAGCTTCGACTTTTTTTTATTTGCGATATTTCCAAGCACATGAACTCACGTTTCCTTCCCCCTTTCTCGTACTTTTCATATCATTGATGTTGATGATATTGAGTATGAGCTCAAATTGGATCATTTTCTAATATTTTTATTTTTCATTCATTTTCAGACGATGCTTACGGCTATTTCGATGTCAGCAATTGCTACAAATGGAGTAGTGCCGGCGGGTGGAAGTTATTTCATGATATCAAGGTGACTAGAATGTCGACAAATTGACGACAATAATATTATTATTTTCTGTTTCAATGACTTGATTTTTAATGTCAAAGTCGTTGGATGTATTTTAATGTGGCAATTAGGGGTGTGTCTATTGAAGTAAGGAGGTTTGAGGCGTTTAAAGCTTACATAGTGCTTTATTTAGGTACCCAAATGGCCTTAGAATCAATATTGGGACTTGATCTAGTTCTAGAACTAGATTTTATCATCTCAAATGCGAATAACCGAGATGACTCAGATGTAAAGTCTGAATGGTCAGATATCCTTGCTTTAAAGCTAATTTAAGTTAAACACCCTTCAAAAGCTCTTGGATACACCCCTTCATCCACAATCTCGAAATTTTCATTGCCATCTCTTTGGCTCCATTTTGTCCTGACCACATAAATAAATTAAAATTTACATGATAAATATAATCATCAACAGATCTCTCGGTCCTGAATTTGGTGGCGCTGTGGGAATGTTATTTTACACAGGAACAACCCTTGCCGCAGCTATGTATATTGTCGGTGCTGTTGAAATTGTCCTGGTATGTATTATAAAATCCACTTATTCATTACACTTATGACTTATTCAGTCTGTTCGTTTCTATTTCGTATGATTATATCTCAACTGCCCTTTTATTATCTCTCTGTGTATGGCCACACGAAAAAATAAAATTATTATAAACCATAAACTTTTTTTTTTGCAGACTTACATGGCTCCATGGCTATCCATTTTCGGCGATTTTACAAAAGATCCGGAAATAATGTACAACAATTTCCGAGTCTATGGAACGGGTCTTCTGCTACTGATGGGTGGGTATTATGATAAGCATAATAACAGTTTTCATTTTATTTTACATTCATGGAGGAACTGATGTGAAAGAATGTTTCTGTCCTGTTCCTCTATCTTCCTTACGAGCCATAAAATAATAATAATAATAATATTTTTTTTTTCTTCCTTCTTTTTATTTATTTCCTCATTATTGCACTTTGACTTTTATGGCTGTGTATGTCCTGTGGACAACTACAACGACTGACTGTTGCTATGTTGACGATAAATTTTTCAACATTTTTTTTTCTTCTACAACTTCCTGAATGGAAATAACTGAAATGAATGGTACAACATTTTTTTAATGTAAAAAGGCTGCATCGTGTATCTTGGTGTGAATTTTGTCAATAAATTTGCAACAGTGGCACTTCTTTGCGTCATATTTTCCATTGTTGCTGTTTACACCGGAATATTTACTAACATTCATGGAAATGATCGTTTAAAGTAAGCGTCACAAATGTCTTTTTCTTTTCATCCTTTTATTGCTGTTTATACAGCAGTGCTGTTTCTATTTTTATTGCTTATTCGTACAGATGAAGCTTTTATGGTATTCAGGGTTGTTGAATTAGTGGCTGTGTTTTGGGATCAACTAGAGATTTTGTTTGATTGCAGACACAAGAATATCTATGTTGGGACACAGTCAAGTACGACATAATGTTCCTTTTATGATAAATCATAAATCATAATAATAATAATAATAATAATAATAAATCATGCCTGAACACAGTTGTATTCCAAAATCATCAACCCTGCATTTTATGATATGTTTTTCTACGTACAAACAGCACTGCTTATAGACATGAAATTAATATAAATTTTTAATAGAGATATAATGTCACTTTAAAGTGTACTTTCACATTTTTTTTTATTGATATTTCTTCCATTTTTTTCCACGCCTTTTACTTTTGTTGCTTTTATAGCATGTGCGTTCTAGGAAGACGATTGCTCAAAGACATCCAAATCGATAATTGTACAAAGGAAATTGACGGAATTTTATGGAAGGAGTTTTGCGTATTGCAGAATAATACAAAAGATCGTGACTTCCTGAGAAATCCAGATGCTTATCGCTTAAAGGAGGATAATTGGAATTGTGATTCGTATTTCCAAGGTATGAATGGGATGAAGTTTTTTTTTGGGTATGGTTTGTTGATAGCAAGATGATTTTCTTGCTGTCTTGAAGATTTAGACCTTGAGAATATATCTAGGTATGCTCTTAGTCTTGCAATAATCCTGAGAATTAATAACAGAGAATGTTGCAACTGAAGCTTGATTTTTGAGCTCATACCTCATAATTCGTGGTTCCTCTGGAACTTTTAAGTTTAATAAATAAATCCAAAAATTTGTAATTGATACAAATCAGACTAAAATATTAATATCCATCAAACAAGCTTCATGTTCCATGTAAAATGTCTGATTCGACTGTTCAAAAAATCCATCGGGACTGTAACTTCAGAATGATACCATGAATACAAACATTCCTCGTTTTATTACAATACTTCACATTCATATGATGCTTGCTCGTTCATAAAAATTTTTTATTCATAATATTATGAAGCATATGAATGTATTTTTGTTATATTTAGTAGCATTCCGAGAAATGTTCATAAATTTTATAAATTCATTCAGAAGTCTTTTACCTTGAGAAATTGGAATTACATGGAATTATTAAAACTACATGTATTCACAGGGGTTTGGGCAGATTTGAGCAGGAGGGTCGAATATATTCAATTTAACTTACAAATTCAATTCTTAAGGGCCCCTTTCGACCCCCTAGCTTCGTCCATTCATGTCTATTAAAGTTCTAATATAAAAGCTTATTCACATGACGAGCTTTGGATTAAAATGAATGAATGCCATAAATATAATCCCATTGACTGGATATACCGAGAATTGTAAGCTCATAAAATAATAAAATTTAATATTTTTTTACAGGCAACAATATTTCAATCGTACAAGGAATTAAAGGATTGTCGAGTGGTGTCTTCTTTGACAACTTAATGCCATCATTTTTAGATGTAAGTAAGCACGTAATGTTTTTCAATAATGAAATTAAATTTTCTGTGTCCAATTCGCAGTATGGTCAATACATTGGATATGGTGGACAAAAAAATCCTGAAGATTATGAGCCCATGGGAGGTAAAACATATAACCAAGTCGTTGCTGACATCACAACAACATTTACGATTTTAATTGGCATCTTCTTCCCATCCGTAACGGGTATTATGGCTGGTTCAAATCGTTCTGGAGATTTAGCTGATGCCCAAAAGAGCATTCCAATCGGTACAATCGGAGCTATTCTTACAACAAGCACAGTCTATTTATCATGTGTAATGTTCTTCGCCGGAACTGTAGATAACTTGCTATTGCGTGACAAAGTAAGAAACAATTTACCCATCAAGTTTATGTTTAGATCACTTGATAACACTCGACAACGTTTATTTCTTTTCTCTTTATTCCTGTTCGTTTTCCCATCCTCCCAACTTTTATGTTAAAGTTTGGTCAATCAATTGGTGGCAAGCTAGTTGTGGCAAATATCGCATGGCCTAATGAGTGGGTTATTCTAATCGGATCCTTCCTATCAACACTTGGCGCTGGTCTTCAAAGTTTAACAGGTGCTCCACGTCTATTACAGGTGAGTTGAGCATTTATGTGATTTATTTGTTAACGCCTAGAAATGAGCATTAAAACGGCATTTTTGTTTGTGTTTTTTTCTTTTATATTCCATTAACAAAACAATAAAAAAATTATTTATGCATTGGACACACAAAAAGGCAATTGCCAAGGACGGAATTATTCCATTTATTCAACCATTTGCTGTATCATCAAGTCGTGGCGAGCCGACTCGTGCCCTTATTTTAACCATATGTATTTGTCAATGTGGTATTTTACTTGGTGAGTTATTATCAAATCAGCCATAATTTTTATTTTTTTTTGGTTTTAATAGCCATTCTGTGTGTGCTGATATTCTCATGAGGTCAATTATTATTTTTATGTTTATCTTTCTTCCTTCCAAAAAAAATAATATTTTTATGTACAATCACATCCATATGTGGATAAAAATCTCATACTCATTTTTTGCATCGATGGATACCTCATACCACTTGCTGTACACAACAAAAAAATTAATAGGAAACGTTGATTTATTGGCACCATTGTTATCCATGTTCTTCCTTATGTGCTACGGATTCGTTAATTTGGCATGTGCCGTACAAACGCTTTTACGAACACCAAACTGGCGTCCACGCTTTAAATTCTATCATTGGTGAGTATATCCAACATTTTTATTATTATTTTTTTTTTGGTCAGTTGAAAAATTTTGTACGATTTAAACTTTGACTGGATACAACAAGTATAATACGCATCACTTACTTGATCATTTGTCAAAATAAAAATTTTAGGCCTTCTGCTTCTTCCTCATTTTACTCCGCTGTTTCAACTTTTTCTCGTGTACATATTTCACAATTTAACAACAATGAAGTTGGAAACGATATTTTGTTTCGTTAAATAAATGAAATGGAAAAGCCTTTTAGAGGATTTCAAATCGCCTTATTTTCGGCTGGGTATCTTGATTAATTTGTTATGGATAAACTAAGTGCAGGATTTAAATTTAGAACCGATAATACTTGGACAAATGAGATGAGATAAAGTCAAAAATTGGAAATTTCATGTTTTTAACACTGGATCTTTAAAATATCAATCTAAAAATCATTTACCACTAATATATCAATACTATAACAAGCATAAATGTTGGTTTGATAAACTAAATGCATATTTATTAATAAACTTAATTATCATGGATTTATTAATAACAACGATGTTTATTCTTCAGTGACTAAAATCAAATTATGATTAGGGTTTGTGGAAAACAGCTGTTTTTGAAAAACAGACTGTTTTCGGTTTTTGATTTTTAAAAACAGCTGTTTTCTTGTTTTTCTAAAATTCAAAATAAACTGAGTGTTTCTCTAAGATAATGAAACTTTTTGGTAGTTATAAGCAGTTAAGCATACATTTTAGAGCTAAGCACTATTATTTCTTAATTTTTTTGTTAAGTAAACTCTAAAAAAATATAATGAAATATACAAATGCAAAAAAAAAAAATCCAAAAAAATTATACTTTTAAGTAACATTGTATTGTTGTATTGTAAAAGTTCCATAAACTCTAATATTTCATTTGAAATATTCAAAAAAATTTTGGATAAAAAATATCTTGTAAAATTGTTGATTATATTTTTGAACTGTAGTAAATGCTACAAAAGGTTCAACAAATTTAAAATTTCGATTGCAAAATTAATAATGATTAATCATAAATTTGATAATGATTTCAAACCTATTTAACATCCAAAAAATATTAAAATAGTAAATACATTTCAATTTGGAATTCTAGAAAAATATGTTAAGTTCTTCAAAAATTAAGAATTTTTTTTTCTGTAAATTATATGTAAAAATGAAAAACAGAAAACAGATCTGTTTTTGAGTGAAAAAAGTTGGTTTTTTGCGTAACGTAATAAGTGACCCCTTCCCCAAACCCTAATTTTATGAAGGGGCTAAGAACTATACAAGGGAAGTCGACTAATTGTAGTTGTATACATAATTTAAATATACAGAAACCGTTAATAAATTCTCAACAATAAACCTTAATTTGATGAAAATTTTCACAGAAAATTCCAAAGTCAAATGTTGGTAAACAAAAAATTTGAATTAAAAGCTATTTAACGTTAAAAAGCTCAATCAAGAGGACTAAGCTTCCACAAACTTCATCTATAATAATTTTATGAAACCCTAAAATGTGATATATGCACACAAAAACATTCTCTATCTATGGCTTCTCATAATTTATGTAAAACCTTTTCACATTCATGCATGAACATATATGGAAAAGCTCTCTCATTCATGTGTTATTGCTGAATGAAGGAAAGAAGAATCATTTACATGAAAAAGGAATTAAAAGTTTCCATTTTTCATATCCTCTGTTCGTTTTTTCGAAGAATGGATATGTTACGCATTGACTTTGTTCTGTCTGTTAATTTGGTAATTTGGATTAAATTGTGATTTTTAATTGAATACTGGCATTGATTATGGAAACTTTTAATTAGGAGAGAATTCAATACGATTAGGAATTATTTTGGAATTTAGATGCTTCAATATTTATATTTGAATTAATATTGTAATTTATTTGACTAGGTTTACTCTTGGGTTTGACTTAAATCATAGCTATGATCCTGTTTATAGTCTAATGCACATACTAGGAATAATTTTGGCTTTGACATTAGGGTGCTATTAGGAGATGTACATGGCTTTAAACATTGAGACCAACATGATACATCTAAGCAACAGTCTTAAGCTTTATCTTCAGACCAAAGCCTTAGTCAAAAGCCCTAGCTTAATTAATGTACTTAAAACTGACTCTATCACTAGTAACCAGATAGAAAAAGAAGTTCTTAATCACAGCTTTTCCAAAAAAATACAAAAAGCGCTTCAGAGCCTCAAAAAAGACAATACAACTCACAATAACCCCCATCCGAAATTTCTCATCACATTAAAGCATATTTAAAATAATGAAAAAACTTGAAAAAAAATTAATTTTCATTATGAACATTCATAAATACAGAAAAGTTCAAATACAGGATGAATAAAGACGAGAAGAATTTGCATCTTTATAGAAACAGACTTAATTCCTTTTGTGGAGTATTTTACAATTCAATTAATTATTAATTTTCCACAAAAGGCTTTTGTGTGTTCATTTTGGGGCTGAATAAGTCTATGTTAAAGTATAAATTTCAAAAATAAAAGTAAACAAAAACGAGACATGAAGATGAGATAGATAAAAATTTCAGAATTATGACCTAAGGCCTAATGGAGCTTCTTCCTAAAGGCAATTTCCTTTTGCATCTCATATTTGATACTTATTTATGATATCATGAAGAACATGGGAAGGCTATTTACAGTGCATAGAGACTAGAAAGATTATGAATTACTTGTGCTGACTCATGTCACACTCACTTTATCGTAGATCCTTAAACAGTTTTCATGCATCTGTCTCGTTCTGCCAGAGAGTCTAGGATGACAATGTAATTAAGGCTAGAAAAACTATCCTTCATATTTTTGTACTGGCAATTTGTGTGCTATATACTTCACAATTGCTTAATAATAAATTGAAAATAATTGCTTCGTACCAGCCATCTTCTTGGCTCTGATGAGAATTTATTTAATATGCTTTATTCCTTTTTGTGTCTGTCTAGTCAGGGTTGTAGCAAGACTAGTAAGGCTGTTGATGGAGTGAGTTCTTAACTTTCTTGAGGATTTCTTTATTTGTCTGTTTGTTCATTCCGCAACTAGTTCTTTTGTTTAAGCTTTTGGGATGTGATTTCCAGCTTAAAAAGCGTGTGCCATGTCAGAAATGCAAAAGCCAAGAAATCTTTTTGATTGGACACTCCTTCTGCTAGAACTAGCCAAAAAACTTTTCGAAGTGGGTTACGTTAAGCTAACGTTACGTAAAATTACGTACGTATTCTGTTCCAAAATTTTCAAATTACATCCCTGCGTCGTTGACTCACGAATCATTGTATTTTTGGTGATATTTATTCTATCCTAGATATTTAATCTTGATATTACCTAACAAAAAATAAGAAATGATTTCTTTGTTGAATTATGTGCTCCTTTCTTTCGTCTTTCTCCTGTGTCAACATTTCATTCTTAATCTCAAGGTTCATTTTCCATTCGAAATGTAGCGGAAAGAATGGCAGAGTGGAATAAAAAGAATGAATCGCGAAAGAAAAGGAAGAAGAATAACTTTATGCAAACATATGTACATAATTTATAACAAGAAATGTTTATTCATTAAAAAAAATTTCACGCCTATACTAAACAACTATATAAAAATAGGAGGAATAACTTAAGAGACTAGGAGGGAGTAAATGCCAGTTAAACTGGACAATTTACACGCATTTATTAGGGAGAGTGACTTTTAATGTCAATCGGAAATGGGAAATTGTGGATTTAATTTGGGATAATTTGAGATTTGATTGCGAAGGCTGGATGAGAATATTCATTTACTGATTGGCACTAGCAGCTTTTTTCGAATTTGGGTATTGATTTTTACAACTATCACAAGATTAAAGTGAGTCAGTATCATACGATGATTTTGATTAAATTCAACGGATTTTCGAAATTCAAAATTTAGGGAACGAAATTTGGTACGACTTCGATTTTCAGTGAATTCACTCTTTCAATAAAGCTTCCTTCCTTCAAAATGTATGAAATTCAGTCAATGTAGCATACTTATATATTTTTGAATAACATTTCTTACGTGCCATCAAAATCTCAATAAAACTCTTAACCTTAAAATTAAGCCTCACCTTCAAAAGTCCATTACCTTCAAAATTTTTGAATGACGATCTTGACAACCTGATCCGAAAACATAGCATAAAACTTTTGATGTAATCAGACAAAATAACACCTTATTCAAATGATATTCCATCTTATTCCATTTACTATAAAGCATCCCAAAAGGATCACAAAAAGCTTACATTTGACCTGTAAAAATAAGCTAAACAATTTCTGACAAAAGCTTTTTTTCTGAATTTTCTTTATTACATCAAAAAAAAATCTTTTTTTTTTGATTTCCTTTATGACTCGACAATATTCCAAATGAAAGCACACAGCATATATACACATGATTTCTTTCCCACAACGGGGTGGTGAGAACACAAAAATAATGTGTAGAAGTAATAAACAAACAACATCGTTGGTGAACATTTGTGTGACATTTTTTCACATTACTTCATTTGGGAGGGGTCGTTCATAAATGATGTGTGGCATGTACATGAGGGGAATCAGCTCACATCTATTGTTATTCTGTTGAAGATAGGATTTGGTCCCTTCTTTAGTAGTTTTGGGAATTTTCGCAACTTAAGAAGCATTAAGACTCAAGTCTTGGTTGTATTTCCTTCCTTTATCCCGTGTTACCAAACATTAATGCAACGCAAGGGTAGAAGCTACGTAAAGGGCTGTTAACCCTCATGTAATATTGCATACATTTAGTACCAAAGCCCTAAAATCAAAAGAAAACCAGCAACAAAACACTCGACGTCATTTACGAACAGCCCTCATAATCATCATCATCAAAACAACTCCTGTTCTTCTTACTTACTTAATACTTAATTTCTCACTCATTCATTTTGTTCGAAATATTTATTTAACGAAGCAGCGCACACACATATTGTTGCTTACACCCTTGCCCTTTTACAGTCATGATACAACACATATACTACATGTGTGTACATAAACATTTATGGAATAAGAAGTTAAAAAAAAAGCACAAAAATTTTTGTACTTACAACACTTCAGCAAGTTTTTTTTAAGAGTCGCAACAAGTGGATTTTTCCCTCCGTTTTTTTTTTGCCATTTTAGGAGGTATTGGAAGCACTCATATATACATAATGTGACTCTATATTTACAATACACATGTCTATATACTTTTTTTTTTGAAAAAAAAAATATCCTTCCTATAAATACACTTTTTTTCCTATTGACGAAGGGACAAAGGCGGATTTAATGTTTATTTGTACTTTATATTAATTTTTTCCCTTCGCCGCCTTCATACGAATAGAAATTGCGTGCGGAATAAGAAAGAGAAAATCCTTTGATTGTCCCTTTTATGGATTTTGATTGGAACTTTTTTATTCTTTTCATATATTATGGGAAAAGAAAACTGTTTCGTGAGCTGAACCTTTTAGTCATATTTGAAATTAGTTTCCATAAATTCCTCTGATGCTTATCATTAATCACAGAAATTCGGGGAAATGGTTTATTGGAAAAAAATGTTCTTTTTAAAAGGTTTTTTGTATCATGCGTTGTTGTTATTAAAAGAACGCTTTGGAATTGTAAATTGTCATGTATTTTTGGGTATTGTGGAGGTAGTTTATGAATTTTGTTGGAACTAAGGAAGGTTATGTTTAAAAAGGTACTAATTTAATAATCTTTTTTTTTTTCATTTTAACTGCACTTTATTGCATTGTTAATGAATACTGAGCTTTATAAGTGAAATATGAAGCAGAGAATGGATTGCTGTTGAGAATGTATTAACGGTCATTTCATATTCAAATTTTGTATTCAATTATAATTAGTTTACTTCCCCTTGTATAGTTGTTAACCCTTTTCATGCAAATTAAGTCTGTTTCTAATTATCGAACACTAATTGCATCTTGTTATTAATTACAAACCAACAATGTCGGACTCGAGAACTAACGGAAAAACTATTATCTTGTTCCAATGACCGAGAATAATCATGCAGTACTGGAAAATCAGTATAACCTAGTCAAGAAAGTTGTATTAAACTGTTTATAAGCTCACTACACTGTTTTAAGACTACACTGTATAAGCTGAGTTTCCAGTTAATATGATAAAACTACAAACTTATTAAAACCCTAACCTAGACCATAAAGAGTCCTCTTAAACAAGTGACACGTTGAACTCTGTTTTCAATCAAATTTGACAGTCAAAAATAAGATTCGTTGCTTTTGTAGCCGAACAATTCTACCTCATCATCAAAAAACTTCTAAACCTGCTTCTAAATGACATAAACTACTCACTTAATTATCGATTTGACTGGATTTGACATTTCAACCTTCACAATATGGCACAAATCGCACCAAAATGAAATCCGTTCATAATATCTTAATTAAGAGATCAGTTGGATCTCCATGGGTCATCAATATCCCATGTTTTTCTGTTATTATCCTTTCACAACAGCTTAAAATTTCACCAACAATTTAATTCCAATAAACAAGCTTAATATTTGCCATTAAAACTCATTTGTATACTGAGGGTTAAGTAAATAATAATTTAATTTATGAAAATCAAAACTGATGATAATGACGAACAAAAACATTAAAGATCGTAAAATGGAAGGCATTCTTTAAACTCTTCGAAACAAAAGGTTAATGGGAAAGAAGATAAGAAAGCAAAAAAAAAGTTTTATTTTTGATGCAAGGTCTGTAAAGATTTGAATAGCAACCCTATTCATTCTACGATAATTTTTTTTGTGCACCACAAACTCGTCGATTCCTTTATAAAAAAATTATTTCTTTCTTCTTTCAGGATTCTTTCATTCATCGGATTAACGTTATGCCTCTGTATTATGCTCATGACATCGGTCTTATTTGCTGCCATTGCAATGGGAATGGCTGTCGTTATGTACAAGTACATCGAATATTGCGGGTAAGTGATGGAACCATTTATTATCATTCCTTCTGTTTCATCAACTTTGAGTTTTTATTTTGTTGATGAATTCTTTTGGAACGCTTTTTGTCGACGATTTGAATAGCTTCACAGTTTGAATCAAATCTAGTTAAATTCAAGGAACTTTTGACATAAAGAATATAAAGAACTAGAGTAACTGGAGGTATGATATGGAAACCTGATCAAATTTGATTAATCTTGAAGGTTCAGAAATCGTTGAGACTCATTGTCGCATTGTACGAATCTTAGTCATATTGGGAATACATTTTGTAATGATTTAGAGATCAGAATCTGGTTAGGAATTGAACCAATGTCTTCAGACATCTCAACTGTTGCCTAACAACTCGATTTCAAAAGATTAACTTTGTACTGGCAGATTCGCCTTCATATGTCTTGTTACCCAAGATGTTACTCGGTTCCAACACCACAAATAGAATAGAAATAGAAATTGACCTTGTACATGGTTCAAAAGAACTCAGTTCAAATTGAACCTTTGCAAATCGAGGACCTCTTTCTACAAAAATACTGAAACAATGGAAACAAAAAAGTTATGATAATTCTGGTGCCCAAAATGGGTTTCATTAGCATTTCCACTACCATTATTAAATATTTAGAATAATAATAATTATCGTAAACCTTTATTACCATCTATTTTTTTACTATTTCACATAGAGCTGAAAAGGAGTGGGGTGATGGAATTCGAGGTTTGGCACTCTCTGCTGCTCGTTACTCATTACTACGCTTGGAGGAAGGTAAGATTAGCTAGCAAATAGTGCATGAATAAATTAAGCTATAAAACATTCTTATCGATAAATCGAGAATCATCAAATAACCTTCAAAGAAAAAAAAAAAAATGAAGCACAAAAGTAAATGGAAAATTTTTGTGTGATTTATTTTCTAGGTCAACCGCACACCAAGAACTGGCGACCACAATTGCTTGTTCTCGTCAAGCTCAACGACGAATTAATGCCAAAATACCGTAAAATATTCGCATTTGTGTCACAATTGAAAGCTGGCAAGGGTTTGACTGTATGTATGTCGGTCATTCCCGGGGATTATGTCAAACGACATCACGCTGCACTTACTGCCAAACAAAATCTCCGTAAATACATGAGTGATGAACGTGTCAAAGGATTTGTTAACGTTTGTGTTACGAAAAATGTTGCTGATGGATTATCGAATATGTAAGTCTCACTCGCTTTATACCCCTATACCTTAATTTTCTTATGTTTATGTCTCATAAACAGTCATTAATCTTCACGATATGATGTTGAAATGACATTCAAAAGGATTCATTACTCTCTTTTTTTTTGTTCTTGTTTTTGTGTCCCTTTTTTCACGGTTGAAGTGTTCAAACAACTGGCTTGGGTGGCATGAAACCAAATACAGTGATTCTTGGTTGGCCATATGGCTGGAGACAGGATGAGGATAAACGATCATGGCAAGCATTCCTCCAAACCGTACGAACAATTAGCTCTGCACGTATGGCTTTATTAGTGCCAAAAGGTATCAACTTCTTCCCCGATACAGCATCGAAAATTGGCGGCAATATTGATGTTTGGTGGGTTGTTCATGATGGTGGATTACTCATGTTATTGCCATTCTTGCTCAAGCAACACCGTACATGGAAGAACTGCAAAATGAGGATCTTTACGATTGCACAAATGGAAGATAATTCGATTCAAATTAAGAAGGATTTAAAGATTTTCTTGTACCATTTGAGAATTGAAGCAGAAGTGGAGGTTGTAGAAATGGTAAGGTTTAATCTGATGTAACACATGTGTCGACTTTATGTTTTTTTCACGCACAATGGACTTTTTGGGGATGGCAATGTTGGTTTGTCAAGAGTGTCTGTTGCCATAAGACTCTGGGATGTAATATTGGAATCTTGTGGAATTGGAAGGATTTTTTTTTTTATTCTGATTTAAAGAAGTGTCAAGAGATTGCTCTGAGGTAGAGAGTTGGTTGGGAACCGATATAAGTGGTTAAACTCAACCAAACCTATATCTCAGATTGAATCATTTGATATATCTTGGGATGCATACAGATTGAAACTTAAACTGTTCTTATTGTGTCTGATGTGTAGGTTCAATTGATATGCTGCAAGTTTGACAATATAGAACCTAAGAATTAGCCACTTGAATGACTACAATCACACAAGTCATCAAATTCTTAAAACCCGTTGACATTTCCACAACATTTTCCTTCCCCATATTTCCTCAAATGATTACATTTGTCAACAACTGCGCTCCAATTACAATCCCTTAAAAAGTTAACAGCTTCCCTTCAATTTTTCATCATTGTCTTTCTCCTTTTTATTTGTATTCCACATTCATTCCGTTGATGTTCATTCCACTTTAACCGCCCAACATGAAATAATGTTTACTGTATTTTTTTTATAACTTCAACAGATGGATAATGACATATCAGCATACACTTATGAAAGAACATTAATGATGGAACAGCGCAACCAGATGCTTCGTGAACTTCGTCTCAACAAGAAGGAGTCTATGGGAGTGGTGAGTGTTTTGAGCATAAATTTCATGACTTTTATTCTATAAATGGTTTAATTTTGTTGTCTATTGAAAATTAATTTTCTTCGACTTCGTCCTGCATCCTATCGTCCTTCCTCTCTCTCTCTCTCTCTCTCTCTCTCTCAAGGGATAGTCTGCATAATGAGAAAATATCTTTTGGGCATGAAAACGTCTTTGAGGTTAAGTTTCATCTCGTTTTGTGTAAATTAAGAGGTTCACCTTTTTTATTGTGATAATGAAAGTATCTTTATGTGAATCGCTTAAAGCTCATTTGCTTCTGACATAATGTCTTCTGTGCCTGATAACCTCCCCCACATCCAAGGATAAAAAATATTGAATTAAATATTTTAAATTACTTTGATTATTATGAACTGTCTTCATGCCCTTGTTCAGCTTTTGTCTCGGTAAAGAAGATTCTTTGATGCTCTGCTGATTCTCCATCACGATTAAAACGGTCGTGGAATGTCAAAGAATATAAATTTTGTCTTTTCTTCTTATTTTAAGTACATACCAAAAGTTGGAATTGGAAAATTGTGTGGAAATTTTTTGTCTTTTCTTTTTTAATAAGCCGATAAGCCGCAAATATACAATATTATTTTGGTAACCAACTCATTATGCGACGAGAGGAAGGAAGAACGTGATAAAATGGAAAAATAAAATTTGAATATTCGACATGAAAATAACAGGACATTATGGCCCAATTTTCATCTTCTTTTATGTTTGTGACTAAATATAGAAATTAAAGAAAAACATTTTCTTTCTCTTTTTCGCCTCTTTTTTTATTGTCTTTTATCTCTCTTTCTCCCTTCGATCAATGCCTTCGTGTGTATGTTGACATACCCCAAATAAAATAAAATAACTTTTTTTTCGTACGGAAATTTGAAATTCTTCTCATTTATTTTTGACATTTGACAATATTATTTTGTAAACTTAACTGAAAAAGGTGCCAAACCCTTGTGATTACAAAGATGATTCCGGAGAGGATAAGATGCCTTTGGTAAAGAATTTATTGATAAATGTGAAAATTTTCCAAATTTTTTTTACAAAAATTTTATCATCCAAACAACAATAAGTCAATCAACACAACTTTCTTTGGTTCTTTTTATCTTTTGTGATTTTTTTGGGTTTGATTAATTAATTTTGATTTGAACTAACTTAGAGGTTCCAAAATGAATGAATTTGAAGCGTTTTGTATTTATTTATGGCTATACAGAATATTCTGTTTTTAAATTTTCGAAAAAAGATTTGTTTACATTTCCACCTGAAGATTTTGGATTTAAATTTCTGCTTAATTACACGATTAATTGTTATTTAATCGGTGATAAACCGTTAATTAAGCGTGAGCAAAGCCTAAAAAACTTAAATCTTTCAATAATACGATCTAATTAGGACGAAATTTGCAAAATTCAATTTCAAAAAATATTTTGTAAACAAACTTACATAAAAAACGCGGGAAAAATCGAAATTTTCGATAATGTAACGTTTTTTTTTGTTCGATATTTCCCATAGACGAGCTCCAAATCAATTCAGAAACTTTTAAGAAGTCTCTTGAAACTTCAATTCAATATCTGAACAAATAGCTAATAAACTTTACAAAACAAATACAAAGAAGTAAAGTAAACAGCTCAATAATTTCTCAAAATCCAAACAAATCAATATCATAAGCCAATAACCCCTCCTTAAAATTTTGTAAAGCTCACAAAAGCTTTTGTTAGCTCAAACCAATTAGTTTAAATTGATGGGCGAAATACTTTAATTCCATCAAGAAAGTTAAGCATTGAGTGGCAAATCTCAGGCTTCAAAAATGGCTTTGGAACCTCTAATTAGTAGATTGAACGGTTTTATTTCCTTACGAAAGTTTTTGAGTTTCGTTTTTTCCATCACGAGATTTATTTTTCCCATTTCTTATGTTTTTTCAAGTGTAATGCTTCATTCCAATCAATTTAAAAATACATTTTCTTCTCCTGCTATGCCTTACCCGATAAAAAGTTAAGCCTGTGTACATGCTATGATTTAAAACCCTTATTTTCCAAAGAATAAAAGTGCTTTCATCCGCCTTTCTGATCCAAATATGTTTGCAATGAAATTAATTTCTCATGTTCCTTTTACCTCTTCTCATTTTATACTCGAAAATAATTAAATTGTTTTTTTTACCTCATTCCCAATGCTCATTTTATTTACACAAGAACCCCACTACTCTACTTCACTAATGCTCCTGCTGTTGCTCTTTAAATGCTATGATAATGTTTAAAAAAGTTTTTTTTTTGTGTTTACGATAAAGCAGCTGAAGCAGTAGCTTTTCAAACTTTTTTTTCTACTCATGCTTCTCACCCTACTTTTTTTTTGCTCATGAAAATTAAATGCTATTGAGATATTTTGTAGCATACACATAAAAATTCATGCTCCCACAAATTTGGTAAAGGAACTATCGAACCGCAAATAATTTGCCGCACACAAAGGAGCTTTAAGTTCAGAACAGCAGAAATTAAATCAAAGATGGGGGAAGCAAAAAGAATAAAACTTCGATAAAAAATTTTTTTATTGAATGTAATGAGAAAATTTTCATGCATATTAAGTCTCATGTAGATATTGTTTCTGTCTTAATGGGGTTGTTTGGATGTTGTGTGATGCTGAGATGGATCCTATTTTGACATATCCTGAGCAGAAAGTCTTGTTATATTACAGCAAAGCATCGTTGAGATACGAGTGTTCCCTGACGGTGCTATAATAGTTTTGCAAGCTCATATTTCTGCCGTCATTCAAGTCAGACTAAGTTATGCATAAAACTATTCTTCAGTTCTTCCAGAACTTGTTCCATCATATCCAAACAACCTCCTGTTTCCATCATGAATATTGCGAAATTGTCTGTATTGATGTTATTCTGAATCATTTGCATATTTGATGCAATATTGAAATATTATTGTGAAGATGAAGTTGTTTCTTTTGTCATACACGAATAGAATGGAATAGCATTGATGCAAACGAGAACAATGGATATAAGGGAAAGGTTTTTTCCGCCAACAACTTTTTTTTTGTTGTTTGTTGATTTTTCAATTGTACCACAATCAGCAATGCTGAACATCAAAGAAAAACATCATCATAAAATGAAATGAATTGAAGGTACAAGTGCAATAACGACAAGAAGTAAAGGATATAGAAATTTTTTTTATAGTTTGCTATAAAAACATTTTTAGCTACAAAAAAAAATTGTTGACAAAAGTTTTGACCCAATTTTAGCGCTCGTTCAACACCCCGTCCTCTGTTTGACTCACTCTCGACATCTCGTTTAGAGCACTGCAATATATTTTGTGCTGTATAATCATACAGATGCAATGCTATGTGCATCTTAATTAGTCAATTAATTTGCTATGACTGTATGATAGTAACTAGTGGATGTAATACGTCAAGTTATGGGTCTGTTGAGGAATTTACTATGTCAATAGTCAATTAATGAGGAAAAGTTGCTTGCGTAAATCAGTGTTCAAGAGCTATGAAAGCTGATAACTATGCTGGAGCAGCTGTTTTAGGTTGAAGACTGGGAAAGAGTAGCTGGTAGCTTTTTTGAATAATGTGAACTGGAAAGAAGCTCACGTCGAAGCTTTCAGTCGACTAGGTGCTTTTTAAGTCCTAGCATCAACTATATTATTAATAAGTACGATCCCAATAACTTCAATACAGACAAATTCATAAACATTTCAGATAAACATATGTATGAACATTGAAGCAGCAATAAATGCAAAATAACATGAGAACCATATGCACATTCCACGAGCTAAAAAGTAATTAGCTATTTGGTGAAATGCTCATACTCAGTATGAATAAAATATGCTGAATTTTATTTTTTATTATGTAAATTTCAACCTCATTGTTCATGCTCAATGAGAAAATGCAAAAAAGCTTCTTCCCATTTTGCTTGCTCCAACACTAAAACCCAAACCAAATAATCCATCAACGATGCTGCTACTTTTTTAAAAACCCCTCGAAGCATGTCACGTCATCATCGGTTAATTAAGTGCAACTTTTAATATTTTTGCTGTTCCCTTTTTTGTTTGTTTGCCTTCCAATTAGGTTACTTTAAGTTATTTTATATTTTTCCAGTTTGTCGAGTTTTTCTTTGAAATTTATTCTTTAAAGTTATAAGTTTTATAATTGATGGCTTTATTTATACACTGAAAATTTTCATCATTGACTTCATATACACACAAATACAGATACACATCATCATATGTCTTCATTTTTCATTCATACATTCCATTAAGAATTGAAAGAAAAAAAAATTCCTGATAAATAAAAATGTCACTTCATCAATAAATCATCATCATGATCATCATTTTGTGTCCTGTTTGCTGTCATATATGCCTCTTTTTATTTTGCCTCGATGTCACTCCTCTACATTTTCATTTATACTTTATATTTTGTTGTGTATATACGTTCCACATGCGACATAAAGCGTTGGAAAAAAAAATTTATTTTATTCTTCGCAATCTCTTGTGAGCTTTTACTATCAAAGCGACAGCTTAATAATCGCGTTTATACCGAAGTGAATTGCAGTTGTTATTCCCATTTAATTTATGGCCTTTATTGTTATACTGCTCGTATGTTGGATGCGATGGAGGAAAAAAAAGTTAATACAAATAAAGCTGACTAGCTCCAGTTATTTACTCGTTCAAGTTTGCTTCTCGCACTTATAGATGCTTAAATGTGCGTGTTTGTTACATAACAGATTGAGAATCATTTGTTCTCATTATAAATGCTTCATTCTACACTTTCTATTACGAGAGAATGAATCATTAAATACCAACATTCATTCTATTTCGATTCCGTTCATCACTCCATTTGCTATTTTATTTATTTTTTTTTATCTCCTCTCTTTTTTGCTGTTTGTCTTTGTAGTTAACGTCAACAAATAAGAACTGTTACACTACGGGTGATGATAATGGAAAGGCAAATCTGCAGTTGATTTGAATAAATTTTAATGAGTTTTG